AATGTTTGTATAAATTTAGCACCATATTAATCCTTGTCTCCCAACATTATGGGTAAATCCATCCAAAACTAAAAAACACTAAATTCAACTTTTTTATGTAATATTCCAGACCATCTACATTAGGGACAAAACTGTAATTATAGGACATGTACATCTTGGCCTGTATGATATGTTGAACACGACTCTTAGTGTGGGAAACAACAAGACTTTTATTAAGACACTTAAGAAGACCTTACACTTTGTGAGACTACTACACACTTAAGAAGACCTTACACTTTGTGAGACTCCTTATAGGAAGTTTCTAGATCTACATACATTCATGACTATTCTAGAACTATCTACCATATTCTATATCAATTATAAGCTTTTATATGTTTCTAGAATGCTCTATAATGTCCTAGATAAGTATAGACCTTCTTGTGCCTTCCATAGTGTTCTAGAATGTTCCATAGCCTCCTAGGATCTTCCATCTCGTTCTAGAGAATTCTAGAATCTTCTGGCATCTTCTAGACTTCTCCATAGTATTCCATAATGTTCTAGAATCTTCCAGATCATTCTAGAACATGCTAACTTCTTCTAGACAATGACAAGATTCTATCGGGCTAGTGATGACCTTCAACACTCCCCCTCAGCACTAGCCCCCATTCTTCGTATCATGTTGAGCTGACATCTAAATCTTCACTTTTTCCTTTACTCAGCCCTTCGGTGAATAATTCTGCTATTTGTTTATCAGTCTTGATCTGTCGCATATTGACTTCTTCCTTGAGAACTTTTTCTCTTCCACATGCTTGGTTTTTTCTTAGTTGTTGCAGTCGTTGCTTCGTGTATTGTTTTCGTAGTTGACAACAACATTCGTGGTTGCATTTTCTAGCAGCATAATATTGTTCCTGACTTTGTTGAACTATCTTGTGTAGTTTCTTATGCCTCCCTTTGAGAAACTTGTAAGCATGTGAGTTGTCCCTCTTACAAGCCTTGGAAAATTCCCACAATATTAACATGTTATGATGTGATCCCTTATTGATCTGCTCATCTCGTTTAGATGTTGCTCTGTTGAGAAATTCTACTTTGCTCTTACGAATTAATGTGTTTTTCTTCTTTTTCGCCTTATCCAGTTTCTCCATCACATGTTCCATTTTTCGTCTAAGATGAGACTTTTTATGCAACTCTGGTGACGTCATGTTCTTATTCTCCTTTGGAATGTCCATCTTCAAGGGAATAACTTCCTCCTTCAAGGTTGTCATAAACTCTGTCTCACTCTTCTTGAGACCTTTGTCGAGTTGCATAGTTGATAGCATGCGGGATCCAATCATATTTCTCTTCAAGGGTACAATGTGAATTATTGAACCCTTGGTGATACGCATGGTATCGTCTTTCTCAAATGACCAGGGATTTTTGGTGTATTTGATGCCCAACTTCTTAGCTTCATCTTTAGCAAGGAAATTATGGGATGCACCTGTATCTACCAAAGCCTTGGTGAATCCTCCATTTACCCTAGCATCCACGAACATTAGCCTTCCTCATTTAGTCTTATTCTCTTCTATAGCACATAGTGCCTTAGCATCCCATTCATCCTCTACTTCCTTTTTGGAAGTTACTATATTGCTTTCCACAGACTTTTTCTTTGACCAACAATCCTTGTACATGTGGCCCCACTTTCCACAATTGTTGCAGTTGCCTTCGAACCTCCTCCCCCGAGAACTCTTATTGTCGGTCTTTTGAGATCTCCATGGTTGTGAGGTTCTTGGCTGACTCTTCCCTTTGTCAGCATTTTTGTATCCTTCTTTAGAAGGTGGCTTGAAATTCCTCCGACTTTTACTTGTGTAGAGTGCTTCTTCTTCACTCTTCAGCGTGATGCCTCCCATTCGCTTAGCCATAGCTTCTTGGCTGGCCAACAAATTTTCAAACTCTACAAGTGATGGTTGAACGGGCCATCCTTGTACAGCAGTAACAAAGCTTCTATATTCCGGCCTTAGTCCATGGATAATGATCCTCTTCATTCGAGCTTCTGCAATGACGGATTGCGGATCTAGTTCAGTAATCTCCCGACATATCGACTTGACCTTGTGGAAATATTGAGTAATCGTCATGTCACGTTGTGAGATTGATAATAGCTCGTTCTCCAAAAGTTGTAGTCTCGTATCATTCTTCTTTGAGAAAAGCATCACAAACGTGTCTCAAGCTTCTTTCGGGGTGTTCTCATCCCGAATATGCTCCAACATCTCTTCTTCGATTGTGGTCTTCAAGGCAAACATTGCTTTGCCTGCTTTGATTTTCCATCTGCGCAAAGCACCATTAACGTCTTCCTCTGGTGGTGTAGTTTCGCTTCCACCAACGACCTCCCATAGATCTTGTCCTTGTAAGTAGGACTTCATACATGTTTCCCACGTTTTGTAGTTGTTGCTGTTGAGTTTCTTGATTCCTCCGACGACTTGGAGATCACCCATCGTGTTGGCAGTACCTCGGTAATACCAAACAAGCTAGTTTCGACACTAAACTTGCAGAGTCACAAACTACTCACGACACAACGAGAATCACTCGTTCTCACTATCAACAAACCTTGCTCTGATACCATATTGTTGAACATGACTCTTAGTGTGGGAAACAACAAGACTTTTATTAAGACACTTAAGAAGACCTTACACTTTGTGAGACTACTACACACTTTTCTTTCTTTGAGGCTTTCTTGGATACTTAGATGTTGGATTGATTTGGAGCAAATGAGCTCCACACCTATTTATAGGTGTTTCCACCTCCTTATAGGAAGTTTCTAGATCTACATACATTCATGACTATTCTAGAACTATCTACCATATTCTATATCAATTATAAGCTTTTATATGTTTCTAGAATGCTCTATAATGTCCTAGATAAGTATAGACCTTCTTGTACCTTCCATAGTGTTCTAGAATGTTCTATAGCCTCCTAGGATCTTCCATCTCGTTCTAGAGAATTCTAGAATCTTCTGGCATCTTCTAGACTTCTCCATAGTATTCCATAATGTTCTAGAATCTTCCAGATCATTCTAGAACATGCTAACTTCTTCTAGACAATGACAAGGTTCTATCGGGCTAGTGATGACCTTCAACATTATACTCTCAAACATTAATGGAAAATTATAACAATCTTATTAATTGTATTACATATTTGGTTAACTTTTTCTTGCGAATGTTTGTATTTGCTATCAAGTTTGGATTCAAAATTTTTGATTATTTTATTTAGTATTCAAGTTTTCTCTCCAAAGTTGAACAATGATATTTGTATAAAGTACCACTATTTATGCACATAACACAACTATCAATATATTGGTCGGAATCATGGAATATATAATTGTATTGTTTATGTATAATTTCAATTATCGATTTGGATTATGATTGTAGAAAAATATTTGTCCTCGTCTCTTGTGTATAATATGTGGTTGTGGTTGTGGACTAAAAGAAAACTATTCCAAAAAAACTATTCATTGCCCTCTGTTGTCTACAATATGTGGTTGTGGACCAAAAGAAAAGTATTCCAAAAAAAACTCTTCATTGCCCGTTGAAAGAAACAATTCACCAAAAAAGAACCATTCATTATTTGCCAAAAGGAAGCTATTCCCCAACAAACACTCCTACACCGCGCCCACATGGTGTCTGCCGCTTAAAATCTATTTCCCGCTCGTCGATTTGAACGGGTTCATGACTAGTGTGTGTGTATATATATATATATATATATATATATATATATATATATATATATATATATATATATAGTTAGATTCGTGTGAGACAGTCTAATTTTGTGAGACCGTGACACACAATCCTAGCCATTAATTTGATAGATAAAACAAAAAACATTTTTAAAATGCAAAATAATTGAAAATTTTCGAAAAAAAATTCAAATATTATTTTCGGAATTTATATTTTCCAAAAAAAATACCAAAAAAATATATTAAAAAAATATATTTTTTAAATATTCTAGTAGAATAAATAGAATATTCTACATATCTGAGAAATCTAATATATAATATTCTAACAATTTAAAAATCACATTAGAATATTTACAATGTAATATTTTATAAGAATATTTCACGTATTTTTCAAAAAAAATAATGTATTTCTTTTATTTTTTATTTTTTTAGATAATTAAAGTTCCGAAAATAAAAATTAATTTTTTTTTGGATTTTCCTTTTATTTTACATTTTAAATTTTTTTTTTAGATTTAGTCTCACGGTCTCACAAAATTAGATGGTTTCAAATGAACCTGAACATATATATATATATATATATATATATATATATATATATATATATATATATATATATATATATATATATATATATATTACGGAAGGGTTTATCTTGTAATTTAACAAACAAAACATATTTTATTGTTGTAGATACTTGGTTCCTTGATTTTTAATGTTCCATAATTCTGTTAAATCTTATTGATTTGTTCTTTAATTTTTCTAATGTTTACTAATTCCTGTGAATAAAGTTTATTTATTTTATGAATTGAATTCTACTATTGATGTAAAAATAGAGCAGCCATTAGCGAAAACATCCTTATTGATGGATGAATATAAACCATTAGAAATGTTTTATTTGGATTCCGATTGACACCCAAAATCAATCGAGTCTTTTACTTTTGAGTTTTGACCCAACAATCTAAAATGGGAAAATGACTTATGAAGGTAAGTAACTATTTCGATTGTCCACATATAGGTAATATTCTTTTTTTTTGTTCTCATTAATGGAACAAACTTGTTAGTTTTGTTCATATTGAGGTGATATGACCGGCTATTACCTGTTTTTGCCCGTTTTAACCGGTTGCATCGTTTTTACTCGGTGTTACTCATTTAAAACTAATTACGTGGATTCTTACGTGGCCATTACTCCCCTCTCTCATTTAATTAGGGTTCTATACGTTCAATTTCAACATAATCACCTCCCGATTGTAGATTCGATCCACCTAGATTCGATTCACCAAATTCATCATAATCACGTGTTGAAGTCGACTGTAAGATGGTGTCCCAATCACCTACAGGTATGTATTTAACTATAGATGTTCATTACAGTGGAGTATTTGCCCAAAATCCGTTGAAATACTTAGACCTCGAAAAGATAACAGTGCGTGATGTCGATTTTGGAGGGTTTTCCTACAAAGAGTTTCTTTTGTGGCTTAGGAATTTAACAAATGGAAGTTGTGATAATGTGTACTACTGTAGTAGAAAGGAAACCTTAGGTGAGGGTATTATAAGAATCGACAGTGATGCTGATTATTGGGAGTTTGTTGAAGCTACTTATACTCCTGAAGCTGAGTTGGATGTGTACATTGACCAACAAAATGATCCAATCCTTGATTGGGCTGAAAATGAGGTGTTATCAAATGGTAATAGGTATGATAGTGAAGAAGAGGATGAGAATGTAGAAGAGGATGATAGTGAAGAAGATGATAACTTGGATGGTATTATGGCATATGAGCATGAAGAGGATGAAGAAGTCCATACCTTTAACAAAACTGTTGGTGGCGATTTTTTAAACAAACTTTCAGGTAAGCTTAGTGATGATGATGAACCTAATGATGGAAAAGATGAGAAAGTTGTATTCCCTATCCATGATGAGAACCAAGCATGGGATAAGATGATGCCAATTCTAGGTATGAAGTTTGCAAACCCAATGCAATTGAAACTATGTCTAACTAATTATGCAGTGAAGAATGGGTATGACTTGTGGTACGAAAAAAGTGATCATAACAGGTTACTCGTGAAGTGTTGTAAAGGTAAGAAGAACAAGAATAATAAAGGTTGTCCCTTCAGGTTGTGGGCAACCTGGATGAGCAATGAAAGGTCATTCCAGATTAAATCTTTAATTGATAACCACAATTGCTCAAGAGTCTTCAAGTTTGGGTCCATTGTTACCTATAAATGGATAGGTAATCATTTCATGAATCAGATTCTCCAGAAACCAAAAATGAGTGTGAGGAAATTGAAGGCTAAAGTTAGCAAGACATTTAATTTGATTGCAAGTGTGGGACAGTGCAGAAATGCAAGGAGGTATGCATTTAAGGAGATAGAGGGTACTTTAAAGGAACACTATGCTAAAACTTGGAGCTATGGAGAAGAGCTAAGGAGGACTAACCCTGGATCAACAGTGAAGATGGATGTAGATGCCATGCCTGATGGAGCCACTTACTTCTCAAAGTTCTATGTATGTTTAAAAGGCGTGAAGGATGGATGGATTAAAGGTTGTAGAAGGGTAATTGGACTAGATGGTTGCTTCTTAAAAGGTGTTTGCAGAGGTCAGTTGCTTGCTGCAGTAGGCAGGGATGCAAACAACCATATCTACCCTGTTGTTTGGGCTGTGGTTGCAGTTGAGAGTAAGGAAACATGGAAGTGGTTTGTTGACCTTCTCCTTGATGACATTGGAATGGGAAATGGACATGGGTTGACATTAATATCAGACCAGCATAAAGTAATGATTTTATATGGTCTCTTTATTTAATACTTAATTTATATGAAGTTTATGTTTTGTTTGTAATGCTGATAGGGATTACTTGAGGCTGTCAAGGAAAGGGTACCTGCAGCAGAGCATAGACAATGTGCAAGACACATATGAGCTAATTTCATGAAAAAATTCAAGGGTCAACAGTTCAGTACACTTTTCTGGAGAGCTGTTGCTTCTACTACCCAGGCTAAATTTGAGCAACATATTAATGAAATCAAGAAGATAAAACCACTAGCATATGATCATCTAATGGAAAAGGACCCTAAAACTTGGAGTAAAGCATTCTTTCAAACTGATAGGGCATGTGATGCATATGAAAATGGTGTTTCTGAGAGTTTTAACTCAATCATTGCAGCTGCCAGGAAGAGACCTCTAATCACTATGTTAGAGGAAATTAGAATTTATGTGATGGAGAGACTGTGTATACAAAAAAGTAAGGGGAGTTCTTGGGGAGACTTAAACATATATCCTACCATCAGACTGAAATTGTCCAAGATTAAGACACTTCAAAGGTTAGTGATTGAATACCTTTTATATACTTACAACTTATATGTTTGACATTCAATTGTGTATACTTACATTTAAGTGTATGTGGACAGATTTTGGAGAGTTGTACCATCTGGTTATCAACAATTTGAAGTGAGACTTTTACAAGATGCATATGCTGTAGACCTTGGTAAGAAAACATGTGGATGTAGAGGCTGGCAATTAACTGGTTACCCTTGTGTACATGCATATGCTGCAATTCAAACCTCAATAGGGATCCAAAGGACTATGTATCACCGTGGTTGACCACAACAATGTTTTGTAATGCCTACTTGTACACCATTAAGCCACTAAATGGTAGTGATATGTGGCCTGATGTGGATTACATCAAACCATTGCCTCCCAAAATGAGAAGAATGCCAGGAAGACCATCAACAAAAAGGAAAAGGGATCAGATTGAGAATGAACTAAAGGGCAATAAGCATACAGTCTCAAAAAGGGGAATTGCTATGAGATGCAGCATATGCAGAGAATCATGGCATAATAAAGCAAAATGTCCTCAAAAACCAATTGGGGAATCCTCAAATCCAAAGTCAAAAAATAAAAATAAAAAAGCCAACAAAAAAGGTATTTCTCCTCATTTACCTTTTGATTACAATAAAACAGCTTCTAATTCTAACATTTGAGTTATTTCATAACAGGTAAAGTGAATGTTGAATTGAATCAAGAAATTGATTTGGAAAGTGATAGTGACAATGAAGTTCAAAGGGAGCCTGATAGTGAGGTGGAGTCTTATGAAGTTGATTATGAAGAGGGTAATCATACATATGAAGATGTAGACCAACTTGAGGTTGAAGCTGAAGAATAGGTTGAAGTTGGAGGGGTTGAAGAACAGGTTGAAGTTGAAGAACATGTTGAAGCACTTGTTGAAGTTGAAGTTGAAGAAGGTGAATACCAGGCTAGAGATGTAGATCAAGTTGAACAGGTTGAAGTTGAAGTAATTCAAGATCCAATTGGACAAGATGACCAAGGACAGGCTGTAGTCCAAGATCCAGTGGAAGAGGAGCATATGATGGAAGTACCAGCATTTCAGGTTCTACAGGGAAAGAGAAGAAGGAAACGATCAGAAAGAATCACAAAAATTCAAATAAGAAAGAAGTGGGAGGGAAAAGAGGGGAGTAGTTGTGATAAACTAATGGAATTGGATTAGAATTTCATAATTTGTTGTTTTTTTAGCATCATTGATTGGGAATCTTTTGTCTAGTAATATGTGTACCTTTTGGCAGTAATGCATCTGTAACTGTGTTAAATTCCACTGTTTTGCAAACAATGTTTCCTGGAATCCAATGTTACATTCACATGTTAGATTATATTATATTACATCCCAATGTTTCAATGTATACCATTCTAGTGTTTAATTACTTTTCATTCTAAACATGTAACAAAAACTTCAGAAGCAAAAACATGTAACAAAAATTTCATCCATTCATAACATACATAACCATACATAATAACAGGTGGACTACATCATTCTAATACCAATCATGTTTCAATCATGAACTACATCATTCAACCCTAATACATCATGAACTACAATGAAATCCACATTTTCACATACAATACAAATAACAAAATCAGTGCCAATTTGTGAGTAAACAACTCCCACTTGACTTTGTCCAATTCCTGTCTATTAACAAAGTTGGTGTTCTTTTCTTCTTCGATCTTCATTCTACATATGCTGATTTCATTCTCCAAAGTGCAAATTTTCAAGGTTAAATTACAGCTTTCTTCTGGTTTCCTCCAGTAAGGCTTTCTTCCATCTGTCCTCCCTTCATCCTCATCCAGCCATTGCCAGAATTTACAGCTTGGAATTTTTCCATTCTTGAAGAAAAATTAAAAAAATGTTAGGTTAAAGGATGAAAAAGAAGAAAGGGTATTCAACAAGATGGAGAAGAAGAAAGTTGGAACGTATTCAGCTTACCATCGAGTTTTGACAAACTCTAAATTTTCTTCCAGGATTGTCAGGGGTTCTTGAAGTCTTCACACGAGATGGTAAGTTGCAATCACATGGATGATCAGCTTGAAAATCATCTTGTCGTTTTGAAGAATAAGATGAGGAAGAAGAAGCGATCGTAGATCTAGGGTTCAAAATTGGGTGTAATTGAATGACTTCTTATATTGTAAACGAAGATGATATAAGCACAAAGCCATGTAGGTGCAACGTATTCAACTCATGTGCCAAATGGCTGCCACATAAGCAAAAACAAGTAATAGCCGGTCATATTACCTTAATATGAACAAAACTAACAAGTTTGTTCCATTAATGAGAACAAAAAAAGAATATTACCTATATGTGGACAATCAAAATAGTTACTTACCTTCATAAGTCATTTTCCCATATAAAATTGATAACAATCCGGCCAAAATTGAAAATTACTATAATTTCTAGTTAATGTTTGCCGAGGGTACAAACTATCATAAACTCCTAGTTAATGCTTGTATCATGCGGATATTGTAAATTATTAGTAATTTCTTAGGATAATGATTTAAGAGGGTAAGAAACTTTTTCATTTGTATATCTTTAGTAATAATGTTTTTTTCGTTTTTATTTAGACATTCAGCTTATTTAAATTGTACACATTTAGTCTAGTAGGATGTCAAGTCACCAAGCAAAATTCAACAATTTTCTTGCAAATAAAATGTAATATAATGATAAAAATTGATTGATCTACTGAAAAATAGTTGTATTTAATTATCAATGCAATCTAATTAAACAAGTAAAGTAAAAACTAAACAACTAAAATTAAACTAAAATAGTGGGTTTTTTGATTTGTTTGAAAACTAAAACACTTGAAGAATTAAATACTTGCAATTAAGCAAGATGGTAAGATGCTCAAATATGATAAAGTATTGGTCAACTAAAGCAATTCATCACCATTAGTACTTGTTTGTTTATCATTAGGATTCAATGTGTAAGTTTATCATTCAACTCAAATTGGTTCTAACAATCATGAAACACGATATGCCAAAATTTCTCAAAGATAGTTTGGAGGTAAGGGAAGCCTATAGCTGTAATGACTCAAAGATCTCAATTAATTTAGACTTTTCAAAACAACTCATTTACTAATAAAAGTGATTACAAAACATTGTTTCCAAAACAATATTTAAAATCAAAGCCTTCCAAAACCAGCAACATAAAAAATCAGGATGTGTACGGTCACGCATTCACCTTCCACGGTCCTCTAAAGTACCTGAAACCATAAACTAAAATTATAAGCACAAATCTTAGTGAGTTTCCCCCAAAGTACCATCACACAATACTCATATCATATAAAAACAAGCATCCTGGATCCAATCAGTCATCATACTGGAGTACGCACACGTCCACAACCATCGGGTTGGATTTCCCCTGACTCAGTCAGTAATCAGGTTGGAATACCAATATATAACTATAATGCACACACTAAGCGGCCACAATATTGATGTCAATTTCATCTACCATATAAGAAGTCCTCCTAGGCTATCAAGCATAATACATCAGGCAATTCTATCATGCAATTCTTGAAGATCCCTAGTCTATCATTAGCGTGCAGTTTCATCATATCATAACAAACAACAGTGTGGTAACTTGGGTAAACTTTTTTTCTCTGGATGATCATACACATCTCATCCTTCCTTGGTTAATTTTGAAAATAAATTGAATTTAATTTGAAAACTTTCACAGATCCTTAGTTTGAGTTTGGATTCACATGAATGTTCATCCAATTCACTCAAACCAGGGCTCTGATACTAACTTATAATGACTCAAAAATCACAACCAATTTAAACTTTTTAAAACAACCCATTTACTAATAAAAGTGTTAACTAAACATTGTTTCCAAAACATTATTTAAAACTAGAGTCTCTCAAGACCAACAACATAAAAATCAGGATGTGTACAATCACGCCTTCACCTTGCCACGATCCTCTGAAGTACCTGAAACCATAAACTAAAATTGTAAGCACAAAGCTTAGTGAGTTTTCCCCAAAGTACAGTACACAATACACATATCATATATAGAAAAGCATGTTGGGTCCAATGAGTCATCGCATAGGAATACCCATGGGTCCACAACCACGGGCTGGATTACCCCTGGCCCAGTCAGTCATCGGACTGGAATGCCAATATATAACATGTCCATTCAATCATGGGACTGTAATACCAATATACCACAGGTCCACTCAGTCATTGGACTATAATACACTCGGGTCTACAACTATCGGTCTGGATTACCCCTGAGCCCACAATATGAGTCTAGATTGCCTATCGGGCCCATAATTCATATCTGGCTTGCTCCTGAGCCAAAAACATACATCTGGCTTTCCCTTGAGGCCCACAACTTATGTTTAGCTTGCTCCAGGGTTTGTTGGTTACAACACAAAGCAGTATAATCTCAACCCAACATAATATGTCAACATTTACGTAACAGATAAACATATTACCAGTCAACAGCCAAACAATTAGTTCTACAAATCAGTGCCTCATAGCCAAATCCTATAAACTAAGGTACAGATCTAACAAATCACTACAACATATCAACATACGGTAAACCATGATATCAATCTAATGGGACAGCCTTGGTGCCTTCGACCCGAAAGTATAGTGAGGAAAACTCATCTCTGAGTATGAACAATAGTTGATGAGTCGCTAACTCTGAATCTCAGCTCTAACCGACACTTATCCATCCAATGACCAATTCTCAAACACAATCCAAAATACCAAAAATACTCTTAAGTCAAACTTGGTCAAAGTCAACGAGTCAACACAACCAAGTTGACTCAGGCCTCGTATGCGAGGAGTACTCTAGAGGTACGCGAGGCGTACAAGCATCCGAGGCATCGGGGTCATATATGTGCTCGTGCAGTGTACCCTGCGGTATGCCCAACGTATGCACCTGCCCTCTTGTTAACCCATTCAATCCTTATTTCTTTGACCTAATGCGTACAATTACATATCCAAGGCTAAAATATCCTCAAGATTCATAAAGTTTCCAACTTTATGACTTTGCATGGCCATTAAGTGCCCAACACCAAAGATCCAAACCTCTTAATCCATTAAGACCATTCATGAGAAGAAACTAGTGTCCAAGATTACATTTTTATGACTTAAGAGGCTCCAAAACCTCTGAAAGGACAACTCAATTGGATTAGAGTAACCCCTACTCATAATACCAAGCTTAGGGGACCAAAAGAACATAAAGTCAAGCCCAAAACAAGACCTAAGTTAAAATTTACCAAGTTCAAAACTTTATACCTCCAAGAGATGCCAAATGATGGTGTGATTCTCAATCTAATGTGCTTCACTCCTCCAAAATGGTCTCTACTTCCGTCCTTCTTCTTCAAAGACACAAAACATACACACTCAAGCTCAAAAATGCTCACAAAGTAGATAAGGGTTGCAAATTTTTTTTGAGAGGATGGAGGCTGATGAAAGGAACCAAGTTTGAGAGTTAATGAATAACAAATAGGGTCCAAACCCTAAATATTAGGGTTTGGGACTTCACCCTGTACGCCCAGCGTATGCTAATGTTCGCCCAACATATGTAGCTCCGCCCCATGATTCCAATTGTGGAAATAATATCCCTTACCATCCACAAGTCTTACATTTTATGGACCAAAATGTAATAAATCTCAATATAAGGGTCAAAAGTGAAAGTACCTCAAGACAAGATGTTACAATAACACTCCTGCTTAATCAAAGTCAAATATTCGATTGAAGCAATTGAACCCCCAAAAAAATGATTACCCTTAAAAATGAAGAAATTCCCTATTCCTAGTGGATGTCAATACTTAGACAACCATAAAGGAGTCATGATCCATAAGCTAGAGATGACTTCTACCACAAAACTTGGTCAAAATCAGTCAAGATGGTTAGAGTTGGTCGTGTATAGACCATATGTGTCTTCTAAATGTTTCCCACTTTAGAGCCATAAACCACATTCTCGAACAATTTGAAGTGCGATTAAACCTTGTTTGAATGAGGCAATCATTAGATTGTACAAGAAAAAGGAAACACAGGATGTGCCCCCAGTGAGGACATTCTGAAAACATCAATGCAAATCATAATGCATGAAGAAAGATGCCTCCATACAAGATGATTCCTACATTGGACATGCTAAAGTGTATGATAAAAAAACAGGGTTTACAGCGCAGACCTCTAGGAAAGACATC